TGCTACGGTTTTATCTTGTGGGAGAAATTCTCCCTTTGTTTACAACAGCACCTCCTGCTAAGTGCAATATTCTGGTGACCCAGGACCTGTTTATGCTCCTAGTCTCCACTTAATCCATTTGTCTGAACATCCGTGGGTGTTTGTCCTGCCAATGGACACATGGCTAGAAAGGGGCAGAGAGAGATCTTCCCTTAGCTACCCAGCACCATCAGTCCATCAGTCCCCCACTCATCCATGCACCCAAGTCCCTCATCCATCCTACCTGCATATCCACCCACCAACCACCCATCCACCTACCCACTCATCCATCCATCAAACCACCCATCCATCCATCTACCATGCACTCATCCATCTACCCATTCATCTGCCCATCCACCCAGCCACCTATCCAGCCAGCCACTTATCCACCCATCCTTCCATTCACCTATCTATCCATCCATCCATCAATCACCCACTATCCAATCATCTACTTATCTACCTGCATATCCATCCTTCCATCCATTTGTTCATCTGCCCATCATTCCCTAATCTATCCACCTATCAATCTGTATTAGGTTCTTGTTGCTGCTGTAACAAACTATCATGAACGTAATGGTTTAAAGCAACATAACTTTATCCTTTTAAAGTTCTGGAGGTCAGGAGTCTAAAATTAGTTTCCTGGGCTACAGTTAAGTTTAGGAAGGCTGATTCCTTCTGGAAGCTCTGAAGGGAGGATTTGTTTCCTTGCTGATTTCCTGCTTCTATGGGCCACTTGCATTCTTTTGATTGTGACCCCTTCCTCCATGTTCAAAGCACATCACTCCAATCTCTGCTTCCATCATTCTATCACTTTCTCTTCAGATTGACTCATCGACCTCCTTCTTAGAAGGTGTTACTTGAATCACATCCATTTGGAAAATCCAGTTTACTTTCTCCATCTCAGATTCCTAACTTACTCACATTTACAAAGTTCCTTTCTCCCAGTGAGGGGACATTCATTGATACAAGGAACTAGAGTATGGGTATATTGGAAGGAGGGTTCATACCCATTTGTCTGTTCATCTGTCCATCCATCCATCCATCAACCCACCCATCCCATCCATCCACCCATCCCGTCCATCCAACAATCCATTCACCCATCCACCCATCCATCCATCCACCCATCCATCCATCCATCCATCCATCCATCTATCCATTGATCCATCCATCCATCCATCCACCCATCCAACCATCCATCCATCCATCCATCCATTGATCCATCCATCCATCCATCCATCCAC